CGCGCGCCCCGTTTGCGCAACGTAGGGAGAACCCTGAGGTCCTGTTTTACGACAGGGTTAGATTCCGGTAAAACATGGTCGTAAAATGAAAAGTCCTAAAACAAGACCAAATTACAATGCAATTAAATGCTATCATTCCACCCACAATGCACCATGAAAAACAAAAGAAGCACATATTGCGTGTTTGGACTCACAGGCGTTGCTGCAATGTGTTATTATAGAGTTGCGATTTTTTTTGTTATTTTCAATTTTTTAGGTAGTTTTGAAAATGTGAAGTCGTAAATGAAGTCGTAATGAAGTGAATAAAGTGAAGTGAAGTGAAAATCGAAATAAACGAAATAAAGTGAACTCGAAATAAACTCGAAACTCGAAACTCGAAACTCGAACTCGAAATAAACTCGAAATAAAGTGAAGTCGTAAATGAAAATGTGAAGTCGTAACACGGACCGTCGTGAAACGGGACCTACCTGTAATTAGCAGGTAGCAGCCATTTTTGCAGCATGAACAACTGAGTGGCCTCACCAGATATGACATGTTGCTCCATATCCACCATCTCACGTAGATGAACGGATGCCGATATATATACCAGGGGCCGGTTTCACGAAGCGTGATTAACTTTAATTATGATTAAATCACTAATCATACTCAACCTCCTGTAATTATGATTAGTTACCTACATACTACTACTAGTACTAGCAACTAATCATGATTAGTGGATTTAATCATGCCCCTGAGTAGAATTAAATATTGTGATTAACTTAATCATGATTAAAGTTAATTACGCTTCGTGAAACAGTCACTTCAATTTAAGTACGAGAAGTTAATCATGATTAAAGTTAATTTAGCTTCGTGAAACAGTCACTTCAATTTAAGTACGAGAAGTTAATCATGATTAGTGATTTAATCATGATTAAGGACTTAATTACGCTTCGTGAAACCGGCCCCTGTAACTTAACGTGATTTTAACGTAGGATCGAGGGCGAGGGCTACGTCCACTACAAGGCGATGATGATCAGTGTCGCGCTGCACGTCATCCTCCTCATGTTCGAGATGCTCGTCTGCAACAAGCTGGAGAACGTGCACGACGCGCGGCAGCCGCTCTGGACCCTCGTCTTCATCCCGCTCGTCTTCGTCAGCATCATCGCCATCGCCGTCTGCATCTGGGGCTTCCGGCACGACCGGGCGTTCGAGGTACGACGCGGCGCGACTGGATCGCCCGCTAGTTGACTCGGCCCAAGGATATAAGAGCTGTCCACATTTGCACATGTCGCACATTGGGAATATGAATTGGGGAGCAGCTCTTATATCCTTGAACGGTTGACTCGGGGGGTGGGGCAGTCCTGTAGTAGTACCAGCAAGGTGGTATCGGTAGGAGTCGTAGCCTGTGGAGAGGGGGCGAGATGGGTAGATGCGCAAAATGACTAGAGAGGCTATCGTAACAAACCCTAAAATACATATAAATCATCATGCAGTCATTAGTGCTTGCAGCTATAATCCCAGGTTATCACATGACCCCTCCCCCCACACATACACACACGCACATACACACACACACGCACATGCGCATGCACACACACACATGCACACACACGCACACACACACACACACACACACACACACGCATACTATATACACTGACAGAGAGGTGCACCTTTCTTTCTATCATGACTGCTCAGCTGAGTAACTAAATTTTGTCCCTCCCCTAGAAATTTTTCGGCCAGTGGCCCTGCTGCGTAAGCTTTGTCTAATGAAATCCTTTCCTTTTTTCACTGTAGATGGAGCTGTTCAGTTCCGTAAACATATTGCAGTTCATCTTCATTCCTCTGCGATTGGACGAGATCATCGGATGGAGTTGGGTGGTAGGTTGCTTTTTCTGTCTTTGATTATTTATTGTAATATGCATGTGTGTCATTGACATGCTTAAACGTTTATCACGATCAGGAAGCATCTTGTTTGCCATCTTCATGTTCCCCAGATAAACATCTCTGTGGCAAGACAAATTTTTACTGCAATGTAACTGCCTACATAAAAAGATTCATGTTGGTACTTGCTCCTCATGGATTGGAAACGGGGATTGTACTTTTCCCACATGTAAGTTAGCCCATTCTCACGTCATGGATTGAACGAGATGTCTCCATGTGTAACTTAGCCTATTCTTCCATCATGGATTGCGTTGTCCCCACGCGTCCTTTATTCCGGCTTGGGGATCCTGATTCCTACATGGATGAGATGTCTTTATGCATAACATAGTCCTTCCTTCCATTATTCCACGTGTATCCTAGTCCTTTACTCCGTTATGGATCGCGCCGTCCCCATGTGTAACCTAGCTCTTTATTCCGGCCATGTGATCTTGATTCCGACGTGGATCGTGCTGTCCCCACGCGTAAACTATTCCTTTATTCC